CGGTCTGGTCGGTTCGAGTATGTGATATTTCAGAACAGAATCTAGTTCCCTCGATAACATTGATATCGAAGGAACTAGATTCTGTTCCGAAATATCACATACTCGAACCGACCTGACCGCGTAGCTCAGTTGCAGAGCATTGGTTCGATCCCCAACGTGGTCAGGCATATTTTTCAAATTTGCCCGGTGTGGATATACACTCAGAGTAACATCACAAGCATCATATTCACCTTAGTACATTACACCAACACAGAAAAAAATCATGAATAAGTGGGGAGGGGGGAGGGGGGGAGGGACAGTCTGTGCGCAGACTAGAAATATATCAACAACAATGGTTAGATGGAAAACACGGAGTCTGTTCGGGATCGGCAATGTAGTCTGCACTTATTTTGATGAGGAAGAATTCAATACATGTTTTACAATTTTTGCATTTATATACAGTAATGGCTTTCATTAATGATATGGAAATAGCCGAATTACAAAAAACTCTGACGACCAGAGAAGCGGCTGGTGAAATTCTTGCGAATTTTTTGCCGTTGCTGCGAAATTTGCTTAGCGACGTTCCACACTCAGACGCATACAACAGACGTGAAGATCGTTTGACATCTGGGCTTTTGCCAGAGGAATTTGGAAGTTGGATACCATTATCTTCCAGGGCTGACGGCAACTGTCTTTTTCATTCCGCTTCAATACTGTTGATCGGCAACGAAACACTATCTGGTATTTTGCGCTTATTGACGGTATCTGAGTTATTCGCCCATTCTGACTTTTATGGTGATCATCCTCAAGTTACCCAATTTGCTCAAGCCTCCGGTTATTCACAGGCAGCGATTTTTAGCATTCTTTTAAGTGATGATTTGGCATCAGATGTGTACGCTGGAAACTCAGATAATGCTCCGCGCGCCATCGAAAGTCTGGCTAAAACTAGCGCAAAACCATATGTGTTTTCCAGTCAGTTTCACGTCCTCGCCCTTGCATCCGTAATTCGTCGCCCGATATTTTCTGTATATCCTGATATTCCTGGTTGTACGGCGATAAAGAATGCTTTGCATTGTGTATGTTATCCAAGAGAAGGTTTCTTGGAAAACAGCTCTCTTAACGCAGCAGATCCAGTTCATATTATGTGGACAAGGGCCAACATTTCTCCGCTACGTGGTTGGACACCTAATCACTTCGCACCTCTAATACCTTTCCGGAAATTACATAGTACCGGTTTTGAAGATGTCGTTAGAAGGGGAAGAAAGAAGATGCAAAAATTTTCGTTTGAGAAAAGCGGCGGAAACCTAGAAAACCTATAGCTAACTGATAAGAAACATCTGGAACAAACGACACTACCAAATAGATTGCAGCAAGAACCAACAATTCCCATTAAACAGCAGCAACAAAAAACGCTTCCTATTAATCAGCAAGCAACTCCCCGTAAAAAAACAGCAGCAACAAACAACGGTTCCAATCAAACGACAGCAACAAAAAAGGGGTCCAATCAAGCCACAGAAACAAACAACGGATCCAATGAAATCACAGCAACAAAAAACAGATCCAATGAAATCACAGCAACAAAAAACAGATCCAATGAAACCACAACAACAAAAAAGGGGTCCAATCAAACCACGGCAGCAAACAGATCAAATGAAACAACAGCAAAAAACAACGGATCAAATGAAACAACAGCAGCAAACAACGGATCAAATGAAACAACAGCAGCAAACGGATCAAATGAAACAACAGCAACAAACAACGGATCAAATGAAACAACAGCAGCAAACGGATCAAATGAAACAACAGCAGCAAACGGATAAAATAAAACAACAGCAGCAAACGGATCAAATGAAACTACTGCAACAAACAACGGATGAAATGAAACAACAGCAACAAACAACGGATCAAATAAAACAACAGCAACAAACAACTTTTTCAAGTAATCCGCAAATATTAACTCACCTTAAAAAAACAGGGAAAACAAGCAACTCAAATTAATAAGCGGCGGAAAACACTTTCTGGAAGAGAGAATGAACTGGAGGAGATCTGTGCGTTTTCAAGACCACGTCGAATTAAAAAAAAGCGAGATTCAAAAACTGAACCATCACCAGCCGAGACTAAACTAGCCACACCGAAAAAATATCGTCTTTTTTTAAAATTCAAAAGTCAAGTGATGTGCGAAAATATATATACACCTCCAGAAAAACTCCCAGCAACAAAGTCTACAAACGAACAGGGTGAATTATTCCCGCTATTGGAGCCAGATATTGAGTGGTATAAGAGAAAAGGAGTGAACGCTGTCACTAACATTTCAAGATCGAAAGAACAATCGATTAGCTCGGATGAACAGGGCTTAAAATACGTAGCTTTGGGTTCAGTAAAATGAAAAATAAAGGAAAACATAGACAAACTTGTACAAAAACTCGGCGATGCGGGTTCAGAAAGGCAGCAAAAACTTTTTGAAGCAATGATTACTTTAGGTAATTATATCATTGAGGTGGGTCCAATAGTTCCAACACAAAATCTTGCAGCAAAATATAAAGAAATTAAAGGGAGTACGGCAAAACGTATTACATCTTCAAGTATGCTTCGGTTAATGGCTAAACATTTAAACGTCGCTCAAATATATATTAATGGTACAGGCTATATTTTGGAGAATCCCGGGAAGGAAATGCTCGATTTGTTTGGATGCTTGGAAAATATAAAACAGAAAGTTGAGAAAGTCGTTGGTGATGACTTTGGCATAATATGCGAGTATCTGGACAGCAAACGCGATAGGGATACATTAAAAGCTATATTAACACAATTAACCAGTTCAACATTTATGGCGAAGTTGGCAAATGTTCAAGATAAACGTGCTTTTCAGCGTGCAAAACATCGAGTTACTGCGAACATCCAGGCTTTTAAAGAAATGAAGAAGGAAGTGGAAGAAAGTGTGGAATTGATGGGTGAAGCTGGAAGAAGAAAGAAGTACAGACTTCTTCAGAAGATGAAACTCGAAAAGCTTCGTCATGTCTTTGAAGGTAGGGGGAGAATGCTAAAATGCGAAGAATTTCCTGATTTGGCAGCAGTCATGGAATACGCATTCGGTGAATCTGATCGTATTGAAAGAGGTGGTGGTGGCTTGGAAAGTCACCCTAGATTGACTGATACTGTTCTATATCGTGCAGCGGACAGTAACACAATCATGAAAGACGCAAGGGAGACTGTGTTAGCTTTAGCACCAAATGAATTTGACATAAGCCTTTCTTCGTGCTTTAATTATACACAAAATTACAAAGAAGGCACTTACCAAGCGACGCGTCATCACTCCGGTAGAGGAATAAATGCATGCATTTCCCTCCATAAACCTCCTCGCATCGGTGTCGAGAAATTTGTTGTTAACCTTCGATGGTCGTCTCAGAATGTAAATATTTCCATGGATTTTGCACACTTACACTCGGACAACGTCATGATTGATTCTAAAGATGCAAAAGCCAAAGTCCAGGCAGATGTTTCACCCGTACAGAAACCTGGGAAAACCTGGAAAAAAATTACTCTTCCCGATCATGATTGGAGTGCAGCAGCCCATAACTCTGTTACTCCAATGACACATTTATTCATGGAGACGGAAATGAACCTTGACGATTCAACTGACGCAGAGCAGCATTACACAGTTACAAGAACTGGTACAGCAGCAATATTAATAAATTTATCACACTTCGAACCAGAAACTGTTCAGAGAGCTTTTAACGAAATATTTTTACTTTTGGCAAATCCTGCATTGGATCAATATTTCCGTAATCCTGAAACGGGAAAATTAAAGGAACATTTTATTTTCGTGGTCGATAATGGTCCATCTGAAGCACCTTCACACCCTATGGTAAAAATGTGGTTGGCCCGTATGCTCTTGGTCCTGCAGCTAAAGTCGATTACCCAGAAGTCGTTTGCAGAATACCACAGCAAACGAAATCCAGTGGAGCGAGTTCACTCTGTGGAGAACCGTGCCTTATCCAATGAAGTTTTTACAAGTACGGGTGTGCATAAAGAATACGAAAAAGGTGATCAGCAGCACCTAGAAAATATGGAATTTATGGTGGGAGAAGTTGTAAAGTGTTTACAGAAGGCACAATATGGTGGAAAGCCAATATCAAGTCAGCGTGGTATTGGCAATGAAGATAATTTTGTTTTCGATGACGAAATTAAACTTTTAAACTTTCTGAGTCGCAGTGAGAAACTAAAGAACGAGAACAACGAACACTATTCACCTAAGAAGAACAATCTTTGGCAGGAAGTAGCGTTAATCTGGAATTTAAATGTGGATTTCATTGGATGCTACCGAGAAGACTACCAAAGACTCGAAAATACATTTGATGAAGAGGGAGAGCAAACTTGCTGGGCAAGCAAATATGCAACAATCATTGCAAACCCAGATATTTTAGACGAGTACAAAGAACTTTTGGTCGCTCAACCAATACCTGACTACGTGAGGTGGTATAACACTGGAGGGGAACTTCATTATATTCCATTGGAAAAACTACTTGATTTAAATACTAACGTCATTGATTCTACACCAGCTGCATTTCTCCCCTCAAACATTTTGGACATATGTTTTAAAATATTTAAACACGACGTTGAAAGCATTATACCTAGCATTGCATTGCTCAGTTGGTGTACAGAAGATGAAGTAAAACAACACTTCGCTGATTTTTCGTACAAACTGGACAAATCGTTGAAAATGATAAAGAACGGGAATTTTGGAGGCATCAAGACCTTTATAAGACTAAAGACAAAGCATCATTAAAACGTCAATGTAAAGAATGCAAAATATCATCCGATGGCAAGAAACATGAAATTGTGAGACGACTAGTCGAAACACTGAAGCTTCCTTTACCTCCTGCACTGACGAAATATAATGGAAATATCGACTCGCTTCCAACAACTGTCACCGAGTTATCCCAAATGCCTATCTTTAAACTGAGGGAAATTCTTCGTTACCACAATGTTATCGATTGCGGCACAAAAGACGAGCTAGCCATAAGAGTTAGCATGGTCATAAGCGGAACGGATGATCTGGCATTCAAAAGGGAAATTTTTGCTATAAAAAATATTTTAACAGCAACCAGAACATTAATGCAGCGACAGAAGAGAATGTACTTACTTGACCCCAAAATAATCTCAAAACAACGAAAGTTTAGCACGCCTTCAAGTCCGACGATTAGCACCTCACGACCTAGGGATAGTGCCTCTGTCTTTAGCAAGAAGAAAAAGGCATTCATTTCTATACTAGTTGGCACAAGTCTAGAAACTCTAGATGATATTTTCAAACCTCTTGACCACGAGATTTTATTGTACTCTGTCAATTTTTCCGAGGATCGGGCGAAACAGAATAGAAAATTCTTTGGTCAAAACCAGGAAGCAATACGATCTGTTGGCGCAAACGTGCTTGCTATGTGGAGTAAAGATGAGATCGGCAATACCGGTTGGAAAAGTGGTAAGGATATGTCATTCTCAATATTTTTATATCTCTCATGCATCCACATACATTAAAGATATATTGCATTCTTCTGTTTACAGGGTGGTACAGAGCAAAAGTACTGACCTATGACAGCGCCACAGATACTGTTGAGGTGGAGTTCGACGTTGAGGAAGGTGCACACTACCAGTATGTTGTGAAAGACGAGTTGAAAGCCAGGAGATTAAAACTCGCTAAAGATACGCAAAAGAAAGTCGACGATTACGAAAATATTTTCCAAATCGGGGCAGTGATTGAGGTTTGCTGGTCAGCTGATGATGTTGTTGAGACAGAGGTTGGACCAGGTACGTTATAAGTACAACGTGTGATGTATTTAAATTAATAACCAAATTCAATTACATATTTTTGAAACCTCCTAGCCAATAACATATTAAGAGGACATTTTTTACAAAATCGCGTATTTTTTGCGCAAAGCGCTCAAAACCTAGCGACCAGGCCTTCCCTAAAATCCTGCCCCGCCATCTTGGTTTTAAAAATTTCCCAAAATTTGCGAAGACAAATAACAGAATTTTACTGGATTTTTGGCTGTGTCACGAGGCAAAACATTGCCAAATATAAAGAAAGATAACATGGTAAGTGTAATATCGTATTTAGTAGCTGTTATTTAAATTATTATTATGTAAATATGCACATGTATCGGACTCAGGAGTGACCATTTCATTCAAAGAGGTCATCTATATTTACTGATTAAAAGTGTCTGCTTTCGTCTTTTAAATGATGGCCGGCCTGTTCACAACTCGTTTACAATATAGGTACATGCAAAATTTTAAAGGAAGAATTTGAGTATTTGTAAATAATCCATTTTAATACTTCGAAGTTCGAATCAGTTTTTTTGCCTCTGGTATTGTTGCACATTTCCATAATATTACTGTAAAAACATTAATTTTAAACTTCACAATGTTTCGTACACATGCAGCTGTTCTGCTGTTGCAGTGCTTCAGGTATACCATGCTATAAATCACTACAAGTTTCCTTTCTGATATAAAGAATCATGATGTACATCTGGTATATGATTGTATACAGTATACTAAAGTATAAATTGGAAACCAAAATTTCATATGGGATGTAAGTAACAATTGCAACTGGAATTATTAGTTGAAACAACCTACTTTCCCACATGCATGTAACCCGATGTGGTACGAGGGTTGCTAAACCAGGGCTGGTTATAAAGCAGGGCCAGGATGCATCATCACTATGGACCCCAGATACTGATCCCCCTCCCCCAATATCCCCAAGTAAATCTATCCCACTACTACACAAAAGAATACTTCTTTCCCTCTGAGTTAACAATGAAAGTATATTTTTTACAGATCTCTGCGATATTACTTTTACAACCTTGAAGATATGATTACGATGACAGATGTCTGTACATTGTGGAGTATTTTGTACATCCTATGAACTTTTTGTAACAATAGAATATTTTTATCATAATTTATCTGTGATTTAATAAATATTCATTTCATCTTGTTTCATTTCTTGTTTTCTTTAATAGCCTGCAAGAAAAGATCTTCTTAGAAAATCTGATATTTTTTTGAAAATTTACAATGTATATACATGATCTAATTGCCGTAATTGGTACCTGGCCAGGCCCCACCCCAAATGTACGTAACCATTTTGGGTTAAAAATCATCACAACAAATTTGTGTGACATTTAATTAACCAGGTTTAACAGAATAACAGAATAAAGAAGCATCACTGACTTAAAATCTCTATTATACATCGATATATTTACATTAGATATTGTTGTGAATACTGTAATTCTGGTTGATTTAAAAAATGTTGAAAAACGACCTTCGACCTACCACCTCAAACTTAATCAAACTATGATTTTTGTAAACTAGCATACCTAGGGTAAATGCCGAAATATATCTTAGATTGATCGGAAACAGTTCTCAGTTAATTTTTAACCATTAAACGTAAGGTAAATGTTTAGACCCATGAACTCCATATTGGCCAAATTTAGCCTACATGAAAACCAATGTATTTGAGAGACAGAACATGTTCAAACAATCTATAATCACCATAGAAATATAAAATGGACTGAGAGCTATGTTTACACAGCTTACAGTATAAGATTTCACTTTATATTCAATGAACAGATAGCAATACTGGGCTATTCAGTAAATACATGTTGTTGAATACTGTAATTCTGGTTGATTTTAAAAATGTTGAAAAACGACCTTCGACCTACCACCTCAAACTTAATCAAATTATGATTTTTGTAAACTAGCATACCTAGGGCAAATGTCGGAATATATCTTAAATTGATCGGAAACAGTTCTCGGTTAATTTTAACCATTAAACTTAAGGCAAAGGTTCAGACCCATGAACTCCATATTGGCCAAATTTAGCTTACATGAAAATCTATGGATATTAGAACCAAAACATGTTCAAACAATCAAATAATCACCATGGAAATATAAAATGGACTGAGAGCTATGTTTACACAGCTTACAGAATAAGATTTCACTTTATACTCAATGAACAGATGGCAATACCGGGTTTATTCAGTAAATACATGTTGTGAATACTGTAATTCTGGTTGATTTTAAAAATGTCGAAAAACGACCTTCGACCTACCACCTCAAACTTAATCAAATTATGATTTTTGTAAACTAGCATACCTAGGGTAAATGCCGAAATACATCTTAGATTGATCGGAAACAGTTCTCGGTTAATTTTAACCATTAAATTTAAGGTAAAGGTTTAGACTCATGAACTCCATATTGGCCAAATTTAGCCTACATGAAAACCAATGGATTTTAGAGACAGAACATGTTCAAACATCCTATAATCACCATAGAAATATAAAATGGACTGAGAGCTATGTTTACACAGCTTACAGTATAAGATTTCACTTTATATTCAATGAACAGATAGCAATACTGGGCTATTCAGTAAATACATGTTGTGAATACTGTAATTCTGGTTGATTTTAAAAATGTTGAAAAACGACCTTCGACCTACCACCTCAAACTTAATCAAATTATGATTTTTGTAAACTAGCATACCTAGGGCAAATGTCGGAATATATCTTAGATTGATCGGAAACAGTTCTAAGGTAATTTACAAGTGTTGGACATCAGTTTGGCACTAAACTAAAATAACTTATGTGTTTTAAACTTAATTAGGCAGAAATAAAATAACTTTTTAAGTCAATTTAGTGTTTAGATTTTGGACATGGGTGCAATTATTTGCACTAAATACACCTAATGTAAACAGTACATGTTATACAGTCCAATACGAACACTTAATTTCAAAGATATGACCAAAATACGGATTGTAATGACTCCATTTGGTGGAAATTCAAATTTTGACTCGCTTGTAAAATTAAGCAGTATTTACTTCGGACTAACGACGCTAATTCTCATCAAGATGCAGTTTTTAAAACTAAAATATCAAAGGAATGTTGTATAGAATAATTTATTGTGATCGGAGGCAGTAAAATATGAAAAAATCAGGAAAAATAAACGCATACCTACCACGCTTCTGTGATAGTCAAATCCTTCCAAACCCTTGTGTAACATTGCATCGCTTGTAATTCTTTGATTCCCGTTGAATTCATCTTGTTTATGAGTTTTGCACATCGTTTCCATAGTATACTTATGTTATTTGAGGAAATTATATGAAAATCCAACTGTTATCGTGTAAAAACAAGCAGTGAAGTACTCACACGATATATGAACTGGCCGCCATGTTATCACCCGATTCATTCGATCAATTTCTCATTCTAGCATCTGATTGGTTTTGAGCGCCCAATACGCGATTTTGTAAAAAATCTCCTCTTAATTCAATTCCCCAGAAATGTGCTATCAAATTTTTTAAGGTCATTTTTGTCGGGGGGCCCTAAAGTTCGGGGGCCCCCCGTCACTGGACACCCTGACACCCTCCCGTTACGCCACTGTCGGTTGCGGTTATGTTACCGGCTCGTTTCATTTTTTCTTTCAGTGGTTCAGTAACTGGAGGCTCACTGAACCCAGCAAGGAGCTTTGGTCCCGCAGTAATTGGTTCGTACTGGTCCGATCATACTGGATTGGTCCAATTCTTGGCGCCATTTTGGCCTCTGCAATATATCGCATTGTTCTCGCTTCACCAGACCGATTGCTGTTCTGTAAGGGATCAAATGTACAACCATCTCATACTGATGTGGAACTAGGCAGTACCGCGGGCACAGAATAAGGCACACAGAAGGGCCACTTACGTCGGAAGCTTTGAAGTTTCTGTCACCCTGGCCGCCATCTTCCTAGCCAGTCGATTACGTTTTCTGGCCAATGAACGCGCTGTATTGGCTGGCCGCCATCTTCCTAGCCAATCAATTTGCATGTTTTTGCATAGAAAAATGGGGACACGTTGCACCGCTGAGTGGCCCTTCTGGTACTGATCTTTATTCTGTGCCGCGGGATTGCCTTGAAAAGATGCGGGGTCCAGTAAAGTATAGGCATGGCGAGATAGGCAATGGTGTGTAAATCAATATACAAAATACACAAAACATCACACGCACTATATACATGCACCTACTATTCACTATTTAACAGTTTGTTCTAGTTTTCAGATCATATATATGTGAAGATCTATTAGTAAGAAATCCATTAATTAATTAACTAAATAATATCTACAAATAAGTAACTGTTGCACAACGCAAAATCCCAAGTGAAATCTGTAGAGCCAGTAGAGGTCATATATTACCTTACTATCTCTAATGCAGAGTCAATATAGAAACTGAAGTAGAACTCCGAATAACTCCTAACTAAGAACAAATATATGTTTACATGACGGAAGGAAACATTTCTTGAAAACATTGTGCGTTTGAAAAAATACTTGACGATAAGTATATAATGCCTATATATAATAAAGGCTATATATAAGTACGTAGAATTGTATATATATACAGTTTTTATAGCCATGCCGGCAAATAAACCTTTAATATTTCAGTGTATATATTGTTGCAGTTTGTGTCCTGACCAACCGATTTGCAAGAAACTGTTCCAACAACACGTCACAAATCGGCACGTAACAAATTGGCAAAGTCACGATAACCTGGTCGCAAGGCTAATGACAACATGCTCGCAGGCGTAGCAACTTGTTACGAACAGTCTGTATTATCTTGTTAGAACAACTTGTAACACGGGGATAAACACTTGTCAGACTTGTCATAATTAACGTAACAAATGAGAACAAGCCGTGAGAATTAAACATCCTGATTCGGCTTGACAACAATGTTGTTACGACTTGTTTGCAGATTAATCGGGTGTTGGGGTATCAATTTCCTGTTTGTAATACAAAATTACTGAAAATTGCAAATTTCTTAGAGCTATATTATCCGCATTTTACAACATTTCGCAACGAAACTTTGGAATATTACTAATTTTGTGATGCCCTTTCAAGCTGTGTTGACATTTTTGTCTAGATTTGTCTTGATCAAAATTTTAGTTATAAGGTTAACGGTCCATTGCGTACGACAAAAATCCCAGTGTGCGGGGAAAATATTTCAGGAATCTAGTTGTCACTCGTGTCGTGAACAAAAAATATCAAACATGTTTGATATTTTCTGTCATTCGTGATAAAAATTCCTAGTGCACGGCAAACGGCTCATCGTAACTTTTCAGAGCAAAGAAGTGCGCATGCGTGATATTCCCCAAAACAATAAATTGGTAGATATCTGGCCCGAATTAGTTCATAAGATTATTATAGACTCTTTGTCTTCTCAAAATCCATCCGGTGAAGGCTATTTCAGATACGGCACCTAGTCCCCAGGCCTTTACCGGCGCAACCGCGAAATTCAATATGGCGCCAAATGGCGCCAAGCTAAGGAGTGGAGTTTAAATGGAATTTATATTCTATATTTTCTATTGTTGTTTTTTGACCTTTTTATTAATTTTGGTTGGTAGAACCTATATTCTGAAATGCCAGGTATCTTACCCTTTATCTGATTAATCTGAAACATAGTTAAACAGTGAAAGCAAGATAAGAAATTTTTGACACTGAACTTTTAACACGTTCTACGATAGGGTTGCATATTCTATTTAGCTTAATTTTTAGATAAATGCCTGCATATCAGCTCATATCGTCAAAAAACGGGCAGAATTTGTTTCCACCTTGCAAAATCAAGCTAATTTATTAAAAATAGTCCAGAGAAATATCACTTTTGCAACTATTGGAGAGGAATGATCAAATCTGTCCAAATGGGGGATAGATCCAATGCAATTACAAAACATTTATGAATGCTCCACAGTATTTCCTATTTTGTCCAAATGGTCCGAGTAATTGGAGAAGTGGTTTTGACTCGTTTTTGAATATATCGAAAAACGCCTAACATAACATTAAAAAAACTAAACAGTAAATATAAACTTTGACTTCACAACACAGTAAAAACCTTTATTTACCCGCTTTATTAAGACACATTTTTACATCGTATATACTTTATTATATACAGTAAATGCAATAATATACAAGAAATCTACATGTATGCTACGAATATGCTATAATTTACAATAGTTTTGGTTAAGATAACATCAGCTAAGGAAAATGTAAATCAATTTACCGATTTTTTATAGCGCTAATGAAAATGGTTCTGATGCATCCAAAACCAATCCCTAGAAAAATGGAAGCAAATTAGCCAATTTATACTGTAGCTCACGAGAATGGTTTCGGATGCGCCCAAAACCAATCCCGAGACAAATGAAAAAAAATTTAGCCAATTTATAGCTGATGAGAATGGTTTTGGATGCGTCCAAAACCAACCCTCCAGGAAAATGCAAATCAATTGACCGACATGTCAAAAACTATCCTAGAGAAATGCGAACCAGTTCGCTGATTTTAGCAAAAAGTCCCCAGACAAATGAACACAAATCAGCCGATTTTACTGCTTTTGTGAATGGTTTTAGATGCGTCCAAAACCAATTCCTAGACAAATGCAAACAAATTAGCCGATTCATAGCTGATGAGAATGGTTTTGGATGCGTCCAAAACCAATCCCTAGACAAATGCAAACAAATTAGCCAATTTATAGCTCATAACCCTCCAGGAAAATGCAAATAATTGACCGGTATGTCCAAAACATTCCTAGAGAAATACGAACCAAATTACTGATTTTAGCAAAAAAAATCCCCAGACAAATGAACACAAATCAGCCGATTTTAGTGCTTTTGAAAATGGTTTTAGATGCATGCAAAACCAATCCCTAGACAAATGGACAAAACCAATCCCTAGACAAATGTTTCGCGAAACTGAACTGTATTGGCAGAGGTAATGTAATATATTCCAACAACTGTTCATGCCTCGAATAGTCGAATATAGTACTTTATAAATACTGTAGACTAAATTATTCCAATTTTAGATTCCCAGCCTTCACATCTGAATTGGTAGTGCAAAGCTTCCGGGGCAGTGTCGTTCGTGGGAAGGCAAATGAAAAATTAAACAGCTTCATTCAACGAGCCATTTGTGCCGAAAACACCCGTCTAGAGCCAAAGATAAAAGTGCTAAAGATGAACTGCTTGGAAATGACCAATTTGACCAAGGAAGTTCCAGATTTCAAGGGTGCTGGGTTGGTTTTTCTGGACATTGCTAAGGCAAGTTACCGGTAGTTCATAATTATCAGTGTTGTAATCAGTCGATTTACTGACTGGAGTAACCTCGAGTGACAACATTCAGTGTCTTAACTTGAACCAGGAGTTAAGAAACATTTTCCAAAAATTATTGTGGTTGTTAAAGCTCCTCGAATATAAGCCCCTGTGTATAGTGCTCTACCATCCCCCCTGCACCTCCTCTGCCCAGGGCTAGGGGTGCACCCCCCAGTAAATCCATCCCTGTAACTACTGGGTCATTTACCCCAGTAGGCCCTTTCCTTGCCCCAGTGGTGAAGCATGATTTTCAGATCAACAGGGTCCTTTTGATCATCAGTAACAAGTAAAAATTCCCTGCCTTATGATAACAGTATTGATAGTGACAAGTCCACTCAATACTTATTTGGTATTATAATATTAAGGCGGTGATCAAATCTGTTCTGTACATCAGTTACGCTACTTAAACAATGGAGACACTGTATGCAAACAATGGCTATATTTCGTATTGGTTATTTGGTTCGACATGCATGAAACTGCACAGATTTAACCGCCCTTTAAAGTAATTGGTCGGTTTTAAACATTTTATAGAATTGGAGTGAGAATGAGCTCCAGAAATTTGTGATGTTGGTGAAGAGCCTAAATGTTCGACATGGCGTGGAGGACTACAGAATCGTACTATTTCCAACCACAGAACGGGAAGATTTAATGTTAGAGCACTTGCAATTTGCAGCGAATGCTCTAAAAAATATTGATATGCTGTGGAATATTATGTTCTTCCATGATGCCTCGGAATCAAACCAAGGTGTGTAAAGCAAACAAACAGACTATTTCACATAGCTTGACAATGACCATTGAATAATTGTAATCATTTGCCGTTATATGTTTACAGTATACACGCTATGCATAATGCACTGTCTGCGCTTAGGACCTGGAATGAGCTGCATTACGCACAGCATGCATACAGTACTTGAAGCAGCAGGCATAGAAAAGTGTTTATTCTATATGCTACAATAGAACACACAATGTGCATAATATCTTGTTTGCGTTCGGGACCTGGAAACAAGTCCCATCAAAACGAGGCCGATAGTTCAGACGCCATATTGTATAATTTGAGGCATTATGCATAGCATGTATGATCGGTTGTAAACTGGGTCAGTGTTATTTGTTAGCAAATAACAAATAATATATGGTATTGTAAAATAGTGTAGTGTAATTGAGTGACCATGTCACTCACTTTTATTTTTCTTGTTATAGAAAATGTATTGAAAACGACTGTGCTGCCTTTCATTGTCAGTGGGTCAAAGAGTACACTGGTGTCCTCAACAAATTTTATTGAAGCAGAAGCTGATCCTCTCGCCAAGGAGAAAGACACAAAAAGTATCTACACGAGGCAGAAACCTATTGCTTTGTACAAGAAGCTGCTTGAGATCTTTTGTGCAGATAAAACTTTGCATACAGTTGATGCGTGCAGTGGAGCTGGTTCCTGTGGATTGGCATGCGCAGATGAGGGATTGAAATGCCTGATTATGGATGAATGTGACATCAAAATTCGACTAATTAAGCAACGTCTTCAATTGTGAATCAGTGAAAGGTGAAAACTTTCAGTTTCCACAATACTAATATCTTGCAACACACACGTGTTTATATTTTCTATATATTTATAGTATTTTTGTACCTAAATATTTATATATTTATTGTATCACTTATTGTACACTCGAAGATTGATTATGGATTTAGTTACAATATTTATTTTTCATAATTATATATTTTGCTAAACCCTTTGTATGACAGATTTATCCTTTTGTTATTCTAACACCCTTTTTTGTTTTGGATGCGCCAACACCAATTTGGTCTTTGATACGTTGAACATCATTTTGATCTTTGATGCATCCAACACCATTTTGGTTTCAGATGTGTCCAATGCCATTTTGGTTTTGGATGCATCCAACACCATTTTGGTCTTGGGTGCGCCAACACCATTTTAGTTTTGGATGCGCAAACACCATTTTGGTTTTGGATGTATCCAACACCATTTTGGTTTTGGATGCGCAAAACCATTTTGGTGTTGGATGCGTCCAAAACCATTTTGGTTTTGGATGAATCCAACACCATTTTGGTTTTGGATGCCAACACCATTTTGGTTTTGGATGTATCCAACACCATTTTGTTTTGGATGCCAACACCATTTTGGTTTTGGATGTATCCAACACCATTTTGGTTTTGGATATCCAACACCATTTTGGTTTTGGATGTATCCAACACCATTTTGGTTTTGGATGTATCCAACACCATTTTGGTGTTGGATGCGTCCAAAACCATTTTGGTTTTGGATGAATCCAACACCATTTTGGTTTTGGATGCATCCAACACCATTTTGGTCTTGGAAGTATCCAACACCATTTTGGTCTTGGATGTGCCAAACCATTTTGGTTTTGGATGTGTCCAACACCATTTTGGTTTTGGATGCGCCAACACCATTTTGGTTTTGAATGCGTCCAACATCATTTTGGTTTTGGATTTATCCTACACCATTTTCGTTTTGGATATGACTAACACCTTGCATGCATGCATGCCGCGCCATTCCATATATTTCTACATACTCTGAACATACTTAACAACCTAATATATCTGCGTCTATAAAATTTGACGATAAGTAAGTAATACCTCGGTCATATAAAGTTGATGATTATGGAACAAAACTCCTATTTCCTCTTAGTAATGTATCTTCCCACAAAAGTTTGGATAATATTTTATTGCTATTTGATTTTCATCACAGAAACTTACCAATGTCGACACCGGCATAAACTTTAGAATGTTATTCCTCAAATATATCCAGAGTTTTATGAAAGTTTGCTAATTACACAAGAAATGCCCCAATTGTGCATGACATAACAATTTACTTTCTGGACATTATTATTGAAAATTATAATCATTCTCATAAAAAATACGTTTATACTGTTTCCATAGTGCAATGCAGTTGAAATAGACTTTTTGTCTAAATGGTTGGTTTAAAATTTCTTGCTAAAATAATCGAACATTTGAAAATATTGCAACACAACCTCGGAGACGTTTTGAGATTTGCAATTTTTGGCAACCTTTATCCAAAATTTTCAAAATTTATTGCCAATTCTTCATCAAATCGTAAGATTTGTCTAAATTTGAGCTAAATAGAATATGCAACCCTATCGTAGAACGTGTTTTTTGTTAATTATAGTTTCAACTTCAATTTTGAAAATTGTAATAACAGCCTAGTTTATATTCCATAATCCACAGAGCGTGAACATCCATGCGGAATGTACAAATTATTGACTTTTTGAGTGAAGTTCTGCTTGAATTTTTCGGGTACTAAGTTCTATCTCTCGAAATCTGCAGTTATCTTGTTATCGTCTCTTTCTAGCCTGGCACAGACCGTTCAAGATTGCACTGTTCAATTAGCAATTAGCACCAACACTAGCAGTTATGGTGATAGTGATGGATCCAGCATGATCTGGTAGGGGGGGGGGGGTGATCTGCCAGCTCTAATGCCGAGTTATGTTGGTTATGTGCGTCACCTGCCCATCAACTTACAAGTTAAGTCTTGCTTGACTACTGTATTTGAATTGTAATTTG